TGTCTCCCACGCCGGGATGCCGTTGCCATGGCAATGGAGGGTGCTCATCTCCATCATCTCCTGGTACCCTGGGCTGGCTCAGGCCGGCCCCTGCCCACGAGCCCCTTGTCCCCTGGCTGCGTGGCACACGGACAGGGTCTCAGCGGGTCCCTCACAGCCTGGGCCATCGCAAGCTGCCGCTCCAGCCTCGCCCGTGCCAAGCGCCGGCTGGCACATACGGGGGAGGCTGCGGCGTGGGGGGACGCAAGCGCCGTGGGGCACTGCGGCAGTGGGGCGGGTGGCAGGGCCACCACCCTCGTTCCACCCCACCGTGCCGGGGCTGGGCACAGCAGGTGCTGCCGGCACGGTGCAGGGTGGTCCCCGGTGGCCGTGGGTGCCGGTGGGGTCACCCGCAGCCAAACACTCCCACTTCCATTCAGTGCCACCGCAGCCACGCACGGGGGTGACGGGGGACAAAGTGAGGAGTGGGGGTGTCCTGTGCCAGGGGAGGGGTCCCCATCCATGCTGGCCTGGCCGGGAGACTGAGCAGTGCCGTGTGCTGGGTGGGCACGGCCGGGTGGGCACAGCGGGGGTGGCACAGCCCTCCCCACCCACCAATCAGTCGGCAAACTGGGCGCGGGAGCTTGGCTGTGGTGGGGAGGGGGCTGCGGGGGGCGGGATATTGCCATGCTGGTCATGCGTGGGAGCCGCAGCCTCGGCGGAGCCGGGCTGGTGCCAGCCGGGAGCTGGCGGAGGGAAGGGGCCGGGCTGCGGCGCCGCCGGGGATGGGGATGCGGATGGCGCCCAGGGCAAACCCCCGCCCGTAGCGGGGCTCTGAGCGAGGGCACCGCGGCGCCGAGGTAGGACCTGAACAATGGCCGTGCTGGGAAGCAGCAAGAGGAGGAGGAGGAGAAAGAATGGGATTTGGGGCTGGCGCACAAAGGGCTGGGGCGGGCACGGGGCTCCGGCGGCCCCCGGGCCGGGGCACGCTCCGGGCGCGGTCCCCCGGGCAAACCCCAAGTGTCCCCTGGGGTTGTGGCGGTGATTGCGCTGCACCCCCGACACCCCCGGTGCCCTCGGCCAGCAGCGCCCCGTGCCCGGGTACAGCTGTGGGGCGGCACATCCCGCGCTGGGGCCGGAGCGGGGCTGCAGGAGAGCCTGGCGGGGGTGACCGCGTGGGCTGCGCGAAGGGTGCGGGCCGTGATGCCCGATGACCGCAGAGCAACCGGTGGCACCGTGGGGTCCGCTGGCACCACCACCCCAGAAATGCCCCTGGCAGCTCCTCGGACCCTTCGGCGAGGAGGGAGGGGTGGCGTGCCCGTGTTGCCATGCCGAGCCTCACCGGCTCCCAGGAATGTGCCGGGGCTGCGTGCCCGCCGGCGCGGCCGCTGCTGGGGCAACGCTGCCGGAGCAGGGGTGGGCACAGAGCGGTGGGCACCGAGCGGTGGGCACACAGGGGTGGGCACCCAGGGGTCCAGGCTCACCGCCTTTACCCCACCCCGAGGTGCAGGGAGCAGCCTGGAGCCCGAGGAGCGCAGCATGGAGCCGCCGGCCGTGCCGGAGGAGAAGGAGGAGGAGGAGGAAGAGGGGGCGGTGCCCCTCTCCGTGGCGCCCGGCCCCGTGGGTTGCCAGCTCTTTGGATACGTGGGAATCGAAGCTGTGCTCGACCAGATGAAAATCAAAACCATGAAGACAGGCTTTGAGTTCAACATCATGGTCGTGGGTGAGCGCCGGGCGTGGGGTTTGCTCCTGGTTGGGGTGGGAATTCTGGCTCCGATTCCGCCATGCCAGGGGAAATCGTGCTTTTAAGGGATTTTAAGGAAATTTCAGTGATTTTAAGTAGCAAACATTTGAAAAGGAGTTAATATCCCGTACCCCAATGGTGATAGGTGAGCTCATCCCAACCTCTGAGATGCTCCCAAATGGATGTTGAGGGGATATCACCTCGGGGAGTAAATTTTTTTGGAAGATAAACCAGACTAACCCCAATCTGGGATGCTCCCAGATGTGTGCCAGGGGTTGTGACCTTGGGGAACAAATTTGTTCCTGGGATAAAATGGACTATCCCAACCTCTGGGATGCTCCCAAGTGGATACCCAGGGGTTATTGCCCTGGGGAAGAAATTTTTTTGGGGATAAGCCAGAGTTATCCCAACTCTGGGTTGCTCCCAAGTGGATATCAAGATGTTACAAATCAGAGCTGCCGGTGTCCTCTCAGGGCAGAGCGGGCTGGGGAAGTCCACGATGGTGAACACTCTCTTCAAGTCCAAGGTGAGCCGCAAATCCTCACAGCCCAGCCAGGAGGAGCGTATTCCCAAAACAGTGCAACTCCAGTCCATCACCCATGGTAAGGTCACCACCACAGTGTCGTGTCCCCCCAGCCCCTGGGAGAAGCAGGGGACTTGGGTGGGGGTCTGAAGCTGCGTTCACAGCCTCAAAACATCCCCCATGCCTGGTCCTCTGCTTTTCCCTGATGCTTCTTCCCCCCTGACCAACCTCTCTGCCCCACAGTCATCGAGGAAAAGGGGGTGAAGATGAAGCTGACGGTGACCGACACGCCAGGGTTTGGGGACCAGATCAACAATGAGAACTGGTAGGACGCAGTGGGGTGCAGGAGCCCAGATCTGTGGGTGGCAGTTTGGGGTTGAGCTCAGGTGCTGTCCCTCAACTCCTCATCCTCAGTTGGGACCCCATCATCAAATACATCAATGAGCAGTACGAGAGATACCTGCGGGAGGAGATCCTCATCACCCGCAAGAGGAAGATCCCGGACACTCGGGTCCACGGATGTGTTTACTTTGTCCCCCCCACGGGTCACTGGTGAGTCCCCAGGCACGGCACCCGTAGGTGATGGGGCCACTGTGGGGTGGTTGTGTCACCCGGGGATGATGACAATGGGGCTAGAGTGACAGGGTATCAACCTGGGGCGGTAGGGGAAGGTCACCTCAGGGTGGTGGTGCTGGGGTCACCTCAGAGTGACCCTGGGGTGGTAGTGGTGGGGTCACCCCCCAGTGACAGAGGTGGGGACACCCTGGAGTGACGGCGGTCCTTGTCAGGCTGCGCCCGCTGGACCTGGAGTTCATGCGGCGGCTCAGCAAGATCGTCAACGTGGTGCCGGTGATCGCCAAAGCCGACACGCTCACCCTGGAGGAACGGGCAGAATTCAAACAGCGGGTGAGGACAGGTCCCCGAGGGGCTCCTGGGCTGCCCCATGTCCCCCCCAGCCCCAGCTCAAGCCCTGTATCCCACAGATCCAGGAGGACCTGAAGACCCACACCATCAGCGTGTACCCGCAGGAGGATTTCGATCAGGACCCCGAGGACAGAGCGCTGAACAACAGGATTCGTGTGAGTGCCGGGATGCTGAGATGGAGGGGCCAGCTCTGGGGGAGCAGGGTGGGGGACAGGAACCCCAGGGAGCCCAGCAGGCACCCTGGGGACCTCGGGGGAGCAGCACCCAAGGCGAGCACAGCCTCTGTGCTGGCAGGAGAAGATTCCCTTCGCCGTGGTGGGGGCGGACCAGGAGCACCAGGTGAACGGCAAACGGGTGCTGGGCCGCAAGACCAAGTGGGGCATCATCGAAGGTGAGCGAGGCCCTCACACCCCCACAGGTGCAGGGGGCAGCACCCACGGCTGTGTCCTTGCCTGGGTGGGTGCTGAGCCGTGGCATGGAGCTGTGCTCTGCTCCGCTGGTACCCAGAGCCTGCCAGGATGCGCTGCCCGGGCATCCCAGCGCCACGGAGCCCTCCTGCCAACCCCGCCCCTCTGCCTTCCTTTGCAGTGGAGAACCCGGCGCACTGCGAGTTCCCCCTCCTGCGGGACCTGCTGATCCGGTGAGCGGGGAACACGGTGGGGAGTGCTGGAACCCACGGGGTCACGGCAGGTGGGGGGGACAGTGACATTATGCCCTTCCTCCCCCTGCCACCCCGGGCAGGTCACACCTGCAGGACCTGAAGGACATCACCCACAACGTTCACTACGAGAGTTACCGTGTGCGGCGGCTGAACGAGAGCAACCGGCCGGGGCTGAGCCCCCTCAATGGGCTGCCCGGCAAGGGCGAGGCCAGCAGCCCCCTCTGAGCCACCTCGTGCCCCCAGATCACCACTGGAGCCCTTGGCAGTGCCCACCCCTGCCCACCATGGCTGTGCCAGGAACCTGCCTGGGGTGAAGAGCCCCCCCAGGAGTGCCCAGCTGCCCTGACATGGGTCCCTCATCCCCAAGCTCTGCCATGGGCACAGCCCCCGGACCCTGTGTGACATTAAAGGTTAATCCAGAGCCTTCAGCCTTCACCCTCCTGCTGGACTCCCAACTTTTGATGTGCCACCACCCTCCTGTGCTGCTGTGGCTGCTGGGCCCCCCCCAGGCACGCCGGGGAGGTGGAGGTGCCACCCGTGGGGTGTGACCAGGGTGCAGATGCCCTCCCCACGATCACCTCACCCGCCCTGCCCAGTGAGGCAGCTGGCACAGCTGGACTTTGAGCCACTTATCAAGTGCTGGAGGTGCTGGGAGGGGAGCGGAGGTGCCGGAGGGGTGTGGAGATGTCACCTGTAAGGGTGTGAAGGGGCTACACCCAGCTGTGGCACCCCCCTGGCAGGGGCACTGTACTGGGTGCAGCCCCTAAACGCCTCAGGGACACCCAGTGGGTGCTGCCCCACTGGCTGCCAAGCCCTGGGAACACCCCCCCGCTATTCTAGGGGTGCATGAAAAGCCCTTTTGTACCTCCTGCCGTGGGTAGGGCTGGGGCTCGCTGCCAGGATGGTGGTACATGGTGGCTTCCTGCCCGCCCCGGCCCCACCGCAGGGCTCGGCGTCACCGCCCTTTGTCCGGCCCCGCGTTAATGATCCACCGGCCCCCGGCAGCCGCCCGAGGTGCCGGCAGTGGCAGCAGAGCTGGGGGTCCTCGGCACGGGCGGCTCAGGGGGGCCGGCGGCTCCCTGCCCTGGGCCCCACCCCTCCTCCCAGATAAGGGCGGCCGTGGGCAGCACCCTTTGCCGGGCGCGGCGCGGGCAGAGAGCGGCCGGACCATGCCCGTGGCCACGGTGAACCTCCGTGCCCTGACCTCCTGGGTGGGCATCGCCCGCCTCTTCGCCGTCGTGCTGTCCTGCCTCAGCTTCAGCTTGGTGGCCTCCACCGGGCGGTTTGGGGCTCCCTACGGGACGTGGTGCATGTTCACCTGGTGCTTCTGCTTCATCGTGACGCTGCTGGTGCTGCTGCTGGAGCTGCTGGAGCTCTACCCTCTGCTGCCGCTCTCCTGGGATGACTTCACCTCGGCTTTCTCCATGCTTGCGACTCTGATGGTCTTCACCTCCTCGGTGGTCTTCCCTTCCACCTTCATCAGCAGCCCCTGCAGCAGCAACCTGTGTGCCCGGCAGGCCGTGGCCACCGCCGCCTCCTGCCTCTGCTTCCTCACCTACGCCGTCGAGGTGTCGCTGACCCGCGCCAAGCCAGGGGACATCAGCAGCTTCCTCTCCACCGTGCCTGGGCTCCTCAAGGTCTTTGAGGCCTATGTGGCTTGCCTGATCTTCTCCTTGCTGGATGAATACAGCGGGAAGCCTGGCCTGATGTGGTGTGTGGCTGTCTACTCCATTTGCTTCATCTTCACCCTCCTCATCATCATCTTCACCATCGGCCGTTGCCTCACCTACATTCCCTGCCCGCTGGAGAAGATGCTGGTGGGGTACAACTTCCTGGCCCTGCTGATGTACCTCACTGCCACCGTCCTCTGGCCTCTCTACAGCTTCCAGGGGCGGAGCCGCCCCGATCCCTGCAGCACGAACTGCTGGTGGAACAAGCACCTCGGGGTCACCTTCCTCACCATCTTCAACCTCCTCGCCTACTTGGTGGACCTGGTCTACTCCACCAAGATGGTTTTTGTCAGGACACCTCCCTAAGGGCTCAGGGCGGGGTTGTGGGACGTGGCTGGGTGCGGGTGGTGGCCGGGGCTGCCGGCGGAGCTGAGGAAGAGGCCGGGTGCCTCGGAAAGCTCCTCGTCCCCAGGCTGGAGCAGGGAGTCAGGGAGAGCTCCCAGGGGTGCGCTCAGCCCGGGCCCCACAGGCTGCACAGACGGGGGGCTGGAGGGGCCACGAGGGGCTCCCAAAACCTTGGAGCTTGAGGGGGCTTTGGGATTAAATTGGGTCATTTTTCACTTGTTTCTGCCTCCTCTTTCTTCCCCTTCCCAACCTTCTGCAGGATCCCTGCTGGGGGGTGAGAAGCTGGGGGGCACCATCGGCACTGGGAGCCGTGGGTGGCTTTGGGGGGCACTGACAGCACTGTGGGGGCTCCAGGCTGCAGAAAATCCTTTCTAGTCCTTGTTGACTCGGCACTGGAGTGAAGCAGGGCATGACCAGGAAAAGCCCAACCCGGATGCCTTTTAGTTGGCACCTGCACAGGGCCCTGCCAAACAGGTTCAGGAGGAATGCAGCAGCTGGGGGGGCTGAGAACCCGCCAGGTACTTGTCACCAGCATGGCCGGGTCCTTGTCACCACCACAGTCACCCCAGAGGGAGCCCTGCTGGGTTTGGTCACAGCCACATAGGCTGGAACCCCCCTTTGGGGGCTGCTGGGGTGTCCCCTCCCTGGGGGACAGTGGGGAGGGGGGTGGCTGCTGCCACCAGAGCTGGGGGTGCTGCCACACATGGCTGGGGGACGGTGACACCACAGGATGGTGTGTGGGACGAAGGCAGCAGTGCAGGGCAGGCAGGGGAAGGTGTGCCTGAGGGCAGAGCTCCTGGCACCGCACCCCTGGGTGTGGGATGAGTGACCGTGGGGCACCCTGGCAGGTTTTGGGGCCACTGTCCCCATGCTCCTTCTGCCACCGCTTGTCCTGGCCACAGCCTGGGGCCATCCCTGCTGCCTTGGGGCTGCCAGGGCCATGTCGGGACCCATCACCTTGGTGCTGCTCACAGGGTGACACAAATGGGGTCCCCACCACCAGGAAACGGTACAGGCTGGCAATCACAAAAGAACCCACAGGTGCTGGGCAGGTGGCACTTCTGTGGCCAGTGCCAGTGATGGCAACATGACAGGGTGGCCTGGTGGCTGCCCCCTTTGCCCGATCCCTGTCCCCACGGTGGCCATCACCCTGGCACTGATGGGCTACTCCCCTGCACCCCAGGCAGCGGGGCTGGAGGGAATGGCAGGATTCTGGGAGGAAATAACAGAAAAATGACAGAGGTGAGGTACAGCCCAGCACAGCACCTGAGCACTGGGTATCGACAGTGCCCAGGACGATGGAAATCAGCGGAGGAAGGAGGACGGGAGGCGCGGGGAGTGACAGCGGTGTCACCGGTGATGAGCTGCGCTGGTAACGTGTGGCTGTGGATGGCACAGTGCCAGCGCTGGGGTGTGGTGAGGCTGGGGGGACAGGGCCAGGCTGGCAGCGGGGTGCAGGTGAGTGGCTGGAGGAGATTTGGGGGTTCCCGTGGGGGGAGCGCAGCCCAGGAGCCCCATCGGGGCGTGTCCCAGCTGGGGCACACGGCGGTGCTGGGGGTCGCTGGGAGGATCCGGGACCTGGAGGGTGCGGGAAGCCCTGGAGCCTGTGCCGTGCCAGGGGTGCCCGGTGCCGGTCTGTGCCGTGCCAGGGATGCCCGGTGCCGGTCTGTGCCGTGCCAGGGGAGCCCGGTGCCCGTCTGCGCCGTGCCAGGGGTGCCCGGTGCCGGTCTGTGCCGTGCCAGGGGTGCCCGGTGCCGGTCTGTGCCGTGCCAGGGATGCCCGGTGCCGGTCTGTGCCGTGCCAGGGGAGCCCGGTGCCCGTCTGCGCCGTGCCAGGGATGCCCGGTGCTGGAGGGTCTCTCGGTGCCGTGGCGCCGGTGTCGCTGTCACTGCGGTTCGGTGCCGGTGCAGGTGCGGTGCCGGTGCGGTGCCGGTGCATTCCTCCCCCTAGGGGTCGGTGTGCCGCGGCGCGGGAGGCGGTGCGGGGGGCGGCTCGCTCCTGCGCACGGCCCGGGACGGCCGGGGCACGGCGGCGGCGGCGGCGGCGGTGGGAGCGGGCGCTGCCGGTGAGTGCGGGCAGCGGGGGGCGGCGGGGCCCGGCCCGGGGGGGATGCGGCCGCGGACAGCGCTGGGGAAGGCGGGCTCACCCCGGGCTGAGCCCGGCCGGGGGGCTCCTCCTTTTCCACCCCGGCGGGGGTCGGTCTGAGCTGCCGGGATGGGGAGGAGAATGCCGTGTCCTGCAGTGCTCCGGTGAGTCCCCGGGGTGTCACCTCCCGTTTGCCGGGACTGTCCCTGCGCCCGGTACTGGTGTCCCTGCAACCTGGCACCAGCGCCCAGCCCTCTGCCGTGTCAGCAGGGTGTCCCTGTGCCCCCCAGGGATGCCCCTGTAGCCTCAAAAGGCTCCGTGGCCCCAGGGACACTCCTGTGTCCCCCCGTGCCCCCAAAGATGCTCTTGTGTCCCACTATGACCCTGTACCCCCAAGGATGTCCCTGGGTCCCCAGCTGGACGAGTTTCCTCCAGACAAAACTCCATGTGAGCCCCCATCTGCCCTTCCAAGGCCTGATCCCCCATCCAGGGTGACTTTCAGGAGGGCCCACGTCCCCTCCCTGCTCTGTGGGGCTGGGGGCACGTCCGGGAGCCCCCTGAGCTGTCCTGATACTCACTCTGAGCATCCCCAGCTCTGGCTGGAGAGGGGAGGGAGTGTGACAGCCTGGCAGTGGCACGGCTGGGGCGGGTGCTGGGGGGCAGCCCCAGGGTGGGCGCTGGCTGGGACAGCTGCTGGGGGAAGCCCCGAAGGGAAGGGGGTCCAACTCCTGCCCAGGGAAGGAATGTCCTACAGCAGGGACATGATCCTCTGCTCCGGGGGAGCACCCCTGAGGACAGGGCAGCGTGGGTGCCCCGGGGTGGGTCCCCACGAGCACCGGGCAGGTCTGACTCCACCCTCATGTCCCTGCAACCCTCTTACTGCACTGACCACCACAGTTGAGTGGGGATGCGGCACCCCGAAGGGATGGCACCCTATTTTGGGGGGACACGTGCGCTCCAAGACAGCTGCGTTGGGACGCGTTTGTCTGCCCGGCAGGGAAGGGGTTAATGCCGGGAGGGTTTTGGGGTGCCGGGGTGTCCCCAGCTGGGTACACCCAGGCTGCTCCTCGCACGGGTGACCTCACGCCACTGCCATGGCAACGGCTCGTGAAGTCACGGCGAGCGGGGCGGCCGCTTCCAGCGCGGGGTGCTGGGATGGGAGCGTGGGAGGCAGCGCGGCCCCCCCGCTCCCCGCAGCCCCCCGGAATGAGCTGTGCCCCCGGCAGCGCCGACGCCTCCGCCTGACCCCCGTGCTGCCCGCCGTGCCCGTGTCACCCTGCCCGTGTCACCCTGCCCGTGCCACCATGCTCGTCAAGGAGTACCGCATCTGCATGCCGCTCACCACCGAGGAGGTGAGCGCGGGCAGCGGGGCCGGGATCGGGGGGTCCCGAGGGCTCAGGAACACTCCGTTGGAGGGGCCGTGGGTGGGGCAGCGCCAGGGGATCGGTTCTTGCCCCTGGAGGGACGCGGTGACCCCTTCGCCGTCTCCTCGTGGCGGGGACCGGGGTGTGCCGGGCTCGGGATGTTCCGTGCGAGGGCTGAGCCGTACTTTGGGGTGCGGGCGGGGGGACATCCCGTCCCTGGGCATGGCCACCTTGGGGCACAGAGCCCGACGGCAGCACCGGGGCACAGCAGGACTAGGGGACGGACCAGCAGGAGAAGGGCACCGGGGGTTTGGATGCCCGTGGCATGACAGGGACCATGAACCCCATCCCTGCTCCGGCAGGGAGCCTGAATGCCATCGGCAAACAGCGCTGACCGCTGGCAGCATCCCTGGGCAAAGGTCTCTCTGAGAACCTGGTGCCCAAGGGGCCGTTTTGGGGAGTGGGGACCTACAGTGGTGCCCACCCTGGACAGTGCCATCCCTCCCTGGTGGCACCTGGGGAAGGCTTTAATTTAGGCAGAGTGAGGCGGTGAAATCTTGCTGGTGGTTGTGGTGGTGGATGGGATCTTCAGCAGAACAAACCCTTGCTGCACAGCTGCATCACCAAAGACACATACACATCCTTTCGGTTATATATCCGACACAGACACATCCATATATACCATACAGACACACGTTTTTCCCTGGCTCCCAGGTAGTTTGCCGAGCAGAAAACCTCCAGGCATTCTGTAAGGCACTGGGAAAGCACAGGGAGAGCAGGATCCTGGGAGCTGGGACAGCCTAGGGACACGGGAGGTCACACAGGGTGCCCCAGGAACCCCCCGCCCGCCGCACGGCTCAGGGTCTGCCACCCCTTGCTCCGTGCCTCAGTTTCCCCTGTCGGCAGCGTGGCTCAGCCCCCAGGCTGTGCCGGGCGGTCACAGGGACCGGTGGCACTGAGGGCGGGTGCTGTGCTTGCAGTACCGCGTGGGGCAGCTCTACACCATCAGCAAGCACAGCCACCAGGAGAGCGAGAAGGGCGAGGGCGTGGAGGTGGTGAAGAACGAGCCCCACGAGGACCCCGTCCACGGCCCCGGGCAGTTCACTGAGAAGCGTGTCCACCTCTCCAGGTGAGGTGATGGGTGCTGGGTGGGCATTGTGAGGTGGGCCATGGCCAGGCATCGGGGTGGCCCCAGCTCTTCCTCCAAAATTCCTGGGGAACCTCCCTCCTGGGTCCTGCAATGTGGCTGATTCCCAGAGTTACCCTCATCATTTCCTGGGCTGGCTCCATCATTTCCCGGGGTGCCCCGTCTCCTGGGGTGCACTGATCCTGGGGGGCTGCACCCATCTCCCAGGCACCCACCCATCTTCAAGGGCTGTGTGTGTGTCTCCCAGTGGGGTCCCCAAGTCCTGGAGTGCACCCATCTTTGGAGTCTGCATCCAATTTTGGGAGCTGCCCTTACCTCTTAGGCTGCACCCATCTCCTGGGGTGCACTGATCCTGGGGGGCTGCACCCATCTTTGGGAGCTACATCCCATGGTGCACCCATCCTAGGGGTTCACCCCCTCTCTGGGGGGCTGCCCTCTTCTCATGGGGTGCACCCACCTCAGGATACGCACCCACCTCGCAGGGGTGCACCCACCACCTCCGGGTGCCTGATCGGGGGGCTCGGCAATGCCCTGGC